TGGATGGTGAGGCTTTCCATAGGGTGTCATCAGAGTCTATCGGATCCTTTGGGATAGGGCCTAGGCCCACCCCCGTGTGTCTTGGCTCAGGGAGTATCCCTCTATGTGGAATGGGCTCCCAAAGTCCACACCTATGCTAGGGATAAGTACTGAAACCCATGTTCCTGGGGTCAGGATCAGTCCCATGCTGGTATCCCAGCTATCAGTCTGGGGAGCAAGAGTTCCCCGATGTTCAGGTCAGCTGTTTCTGTGGGCTTCACCAGCCTGGTCTGGACCCCTTTGCTCTTCACTCGTCCTTCTCTGCATCTGGATTCCAGTTCAGTTCAGTGATTAGCTGTGGTGTCTGCTTCTACTTCCACCAGCTGCTGGACGAGGGCTATTGGGTGGCATATAAGTCAGTCATCAATCTCATTATCAGGGGAGGGCATTTAAGGTAGACGCTCCTCTGTTACTTAGATTGTTAGCTGGTGTCATCTTTGCAGCTCTCCAGACATTTCCTTAGTGCCTGATTTCTGTGTAAACCTAAAATGTCTCCCTCTATTATGGTGTCTCCATTCTTGTTTGTCAAGGTATTTTATCACAGCAAAAGAGAAGGATCTAAGATACCAGTCAACAGCCATCATGTGACCATTACTGTTTCCTCCTTTGAAACTCTTTCTCTTTCTCCTCCTGAGAGCTGTAGTGGTATTTTTTTTTTTTTCCAATTGGGACCAGCAGCCCACAAATAACAACATGGAGACTTATTATTAATTATGAAAGCTTGGCCTTAGCTTAGGCTTTTTTTTCTAAGTAGCTCTTATAACTTAATTAACCTGTTTCTATTAATCCACATTCTATCATGTGGCTTGGTTACCTTCCCTCTGTCCTCTATGTCCAACTTGTTCCTCTTCCCATTGGCTTCTCCTGTGAGCCTAGATTCTTTCTCCTCTTCCTCTCTCTCCCTGGTAATCCCGTCTCTCTCTCCTGCCTAGATATTGGCCATTCGGCTTTTTACTGCACCAATGGCAGCAGTACATTTTCTCACAGTGTACAGATAGCCCCCAACAGAGAGCCTTGTTTTGTTTTTAACTATTTAACAATGAATTTGTTTATGACAAAGTTTCGCCCTATAGCCTCGGGCTGGCCTGGAACTCACTATGTAAACCAGATTGGTATGCAGTTTGTAGAGGGCCTCCTTTCTCAGCCTCTGGAGGGTTGGGATTCCAGGTGTCCATCACATTGAAGTTGGGTCCTTTGTGAACCCTGAGTTCACTGATTGGTTGGGTTGACTGCACTTTGGACCCACCTGTTTCTGACTCTTCCAGGGCTGGGGTTACAGGTGTGTGCTGCCACGCTTGTATTTTCTTTACATGGGTACTGGGGGTTCGAACTGAGGTTCTCATGTTTGTACAGCCATCATAGCCATCTGGTGTGTATACGAATGTATATGTTTACTTATAAATATACATACATTAATCTAGGTTCTGGGCTCTGGAGAGATGGCTCAGCGGCTAAGAGCACTTGTTCTTGTAGGAGACCTAAATTCAATCCCCATCACCCACTTGGTGCCTCACAGCTGTCTGTAGTCTGTAATTTCAGATTTCGGGGATTTGATATCCTCTACTGGTCTCTGCAGGCACTGCGCACACACGGTGCACAGGCGCACATGCAGGTAAAACACCCATACAGACAAAATCTGACTCTAGAAGTTATACCTTGGGAAAGAAGGACAAGTGTCCTTCCATCTGCTGCCTTGGGGAGACTAGGGGTGGGCGTCTGGGGCAGTTGGAACTTTATTTCAGAAGCTCAGAGTTTAGGGGGTGCTCAGTCCTCCTCTTGGGGAGAGAGGGGCAGGCCTTGGGGTCCACACTAGGAGCCTGGTGAGTTTCTTGGAGGCTGATGAGTCTGTGGAAGGAAGGGAAGGAGACACTGAGGCTCCGAGACCTCTCCTCACCCTTCAGGGCCTCAGCCGTGCACTGTGAGATCTGACCAGCCCACACAGTGAGGTGCCAAGCTCTGGCAACATTTCCAGCTTGGGTATTTCAAGGCTGGTCAGCTTCTCTGTGAGGGAATCTTAGGATTCAGATCTTGCTTTACCCTGAGGGGAGTAACATTCTCAACGCTGGCAAGATGTATTCTTTCTCCATTACTTGATGGCATATCACCATTTCCAAATGCAGGTGAAGCCATCTATGGTAACTCATCAGGTAAGGTAAGAGCCCTCAGTCCCACCAGCTTCCCATGGAAGTTGAAGGAAGAGAAGGAGCTCTGGGCCACACCCACACCATGCCGCTGGCCTGCTGCTGGCAGGACTGTGTGGAGCCAGCGTCTCAGTTGAGCCTATGTGTTTTCCATGTCCGATGGATTGCATGTGTGAGAATTTATAGGTGTGAGTGAAGAGTGGTGAAGAGTATGGAAAAGTGAGCTCTTATGTACTCTACTCCATTAAAAAAAATCAATGTGGAGAAGGGAGAAGATACTATGTGACTTAATAGACTTTTCTGGGGGTATTCCAAGAGTACCTTGGGTTAAACGGGATTTTAGAAACTCCACTGGGAAGCTACTGATTGTTTCTGTGGGAAAGTGTGTTCTGACTTTCAACTCTTGGATGTCTGGAACATGTCTCCACCTGTCACAATTCCAGAAGGAGTCACAGGAATTTCGTTGTTTGATGTCAAAGATGGGAGCTGTCCTCTCTCCTCAGAGGCTCCACAGAGTACGAACACATGTGGGTGTGAGCATTGATTTTTATCCCCATGGAGAAGGGAAATTTTCTAGTAATAAAAACCGTGTTTCTAGTGCCAGAGTTCTATCCATACGTATCTTATGGAAAGACAAGAAGCTTGGAAGCTGCTGGAACGGAGCCCAGAGCTCAGGACTTGAAACAGCCAGAGTTCTCTTGCCTGTACGTGAGGCTTGGCTTCTTCCCACGCTGGCCAGGACTGTGTATGGCCGACAACATCCCCGGATCTTGGCCTGTCTTCAAAGCCTATCTGGCACCGAGTGTGACATTGATGCAGTGTCTCATTTCCCTTTTCACTCTGTGGACAAGTGAGATTGGCTCGGTGCCTGGGCATGCCCTGTGAACCAGTGGAAGGGGGTAAGGCTAGGCATGGCCAGCACCTGGCAGGCTCTGTCTATGCTTTGAGAGAATGTTATTTCTCAGTGGTTTAATTGGTTAGAACTAGAGATGAAAATATTTCATCTGTCTTTCACAACTTTGGTTTACAAGAAAATCTGAAAAGTATGTCAGTAGTGGCTAAACTTTTCTTGGTAGCATGGCCCTATACACAGTGATCCACACACAGAGAGAGCTATGTGCTCTATATTCCGTAAGCATGTCTTACAGTGTGTGTCACAGCAATGAAAGGCCTAACGATGCCTTTCTCAGCAAGCACCACAGTGAACAAGTGATTCGTGACTCTGTGTATTCTCACACACACAGAAATGAAAGTGTTAGGTGTGTCAGAATAGTGTGTGGTCAGCCCCCCTCCCACCCCCATTTTCTCTTTAGAAATTTAATTTCCTAGGGGCTGGTCTCAAAGGTCCAGCACCATCTAGCAGGTGTGAAGCCTTACATTCGAACCATAGTACTGCTCAAGACAAGACAAAACAAAACAAAACCCCAAAACCCCACCTCCCAAATTATCCTCCAAAGTAATAAAGAGCAAAAAGTTAAAGGCTAGAATGTATTGACTGATTGAATGTATCTCTAAGTGGCTGCAAACGTAATGGCATGTTTGAACAGCTTCCCTAACTGGGATACTCTGTTTAAAGCACCCCATCTCATGGCCTGCACTGTTCATTCTGCATTCAGAGGTGTGGGCATGTGGGGGGTCCTCTGCGGAAGACATCTCTGATGACCTCTTCTTCAGTTGACGAAATACAGAAACCAAGGGTTAGAGGTCTTTCTAACTTGGACTGCACACACCTTTCTTTTATTAGGGAAGTTAGGTCATCAAATGAAGGAATAGATTCATCCTGTCTCAGGAAGTCTGTAACAAGAATGGTTTGTTTTTAAACGGGCATGGTGGCATCTCGCTGGGCCTAAGGATGCTGTTCAAAACCAGATGATTTTTTTCTTTCCTAATGGACCAGAATAGGTAAGATATCACTTTCACAGCTCTTGGGAGATGGGAGCAGGAGGGTATGAAATTTAACTGTGTAGTTACCCTAGTTAAGTTCAAGGCCATCTTGGGTTATATGAGAAACTGTCTCAAGAGGAGAAAAAAATTATTGAAGTAAGGATATTTGCAGTGATTGCTTACGACTGAGTTTTGGTGAGAAGTGATCAAGACAAGTTGCCCCACCCCTTTCTCGGGTCTCACTATGTAGACGAGACTGGCCTTAAACTCGTGGAGACCCACTTACTTCTGGCTCCCAAGTGCTGTGATTAAAGTGTGAGCCACCAGTGTAGTTTTGCCCCTTTGCTCTAAGAATTGATGATGGGCAGGAGGTGGTAGGTGCCATTAAACATAGCACTTAGGAGACAGAGGCAGAAGCAGGTGGATCGATGTGAGTTCAAGACCAGCCTGGGCTACTCAGTCCCTGGCTCAAAAAAATAAAATAAAATAAAAGGATTGTGAGAGTTTCACAGATGAGGGTAAACTCTCAGAATACCCCTGCCAGCACTATGTAACAGGAAATCTGCAGCGTTTCTTTTCATTTTTATCTATTTTACCGTTATATTTTTATTTATTTTGTTTGAGACAAAGCCTTGCTATGCAGATCTGGCTGGCCTGGTACTCATTTGTGCAGCCCCCCTCCCCCCACACTGTTGCCCTTGAGCTTGTAACTGTCTTCCTGAGGGCTGAGATTCTGCCCGCCTCCCAACTTTTCCCTCTCCACCTTTCTCCCTCTTTCCCTAAATGTACCCTACTTGCTGAAGCTGTGACTGAGGGGTCTCTGGCTCAAAATGTGAAGATTAAAAAAAAAAAAGACTCTCTCTCTCTCTCTCTCTCTCTCTCTCTCTCTCTCTCTCTCTCTGTGTGTGTGTGTGTGTGTGTGTGTGTGTGTGTGTATGCGCGCGCGCGTGCATGCGCGTGAATATACAAGACACATGAATACAGGTGCCTACAGAGACCAGAAAGGACACCAGATTCCCTGGAACTAGAGTTCCAGGTGACTTCGAGCTGCCTGATGAGGGTGCTGAGAACTGAACTCAGGTTCTCTGCAAGAACTGCGCAGGCTCTTAACCACTAAGCAGTCTCTCCAGCCTCCGGATATGGGGATGTCTGTTGCCTGTGTTTCCAGAAAAGAACCACAGGGTCATAATCTGTTAGCCAACACCAGCGTCCGAGTTCATATGTGTAATTTTGGGCCCATACCCTGAATCATCCTCTTACTCCAAAACAAAACAAATTAAACCCTGAGGAATCTGGCAGAAAAACCTGTGTATTTATTATGCTGTTGTTAAGATCTAGAGACTCTGGGAACATTAGCTTTCCATTTTTGTGTGGGAATCTCTATTTGGAAGCACATGACTGCCCAGGTTCCCACAGCTCTTTACAAGCCTCGTCTCTCATTTACATTCTGTCATTTATGTCTTTATATGGCCCAATCGGTGTTTACAGGTGGTGTGAGCACTGTCCTCCCAGCGTGACATGAGAACAGCTCGGGCTGTTCCAGAGACTGGAGATGGGGTCTGCTGACTGGTCATGCTCCTTCACAGATGTGAGTAGTTGGTTGTAGGAGCCTCACCTGAGACTCCAGCCCTCCTGCCTGCATCTCCTGGCCAGCTGTACACAATCCTGTCCTAATGGCTCCTGGGAGGTGCTAGAGTGTGAGCGGAAAAGTTAATGGGAAGGCCGGGCCTCCGTCTATGCAGCTGCTGGGGAATCATCAACCATGCAGAGCTGAGACTTTTCCATGGTGTGGCTGCTTTGTTGTCACCATGCTCTGTAAGGAACCCATCATCTCTGTAAATAAGTCCAATAAACTCACTGGTTCCTCAAGTTGGATTTTGTGGAACTGAACTTTGGTTGGTTTTTGGTTTTTTTTTTTTTTTTTTTGATTTTTTTTTTTTTTTTTTGAGACAGGGTTTCTCTGTGTAGCTTTGGGAGTGACACAGTGTAGCCTATCCTGGCATTTGCTCTGGAGACCAGGCTGGCCTCAAACTCACAGAGATCTGCTTGCCTCTGCCTCCCGAGTGCTGGGATTAAAGGCGTGCGCCACCAACATCCAGCTGGTCTTTGGTTCTTATAAGGAGGGCATAGATGTTTGCTTATACCAAAGTCCAACCTCCTAGAGAGAGAATTCTGGAGACAACAGGCATCTGAAATTTCATCTCTTGGACTATGGGCTGGAGTCCAGTTCCTTCCCCTTGTATCTAGAGACCATGATCATTACTAATATTTTGGGGTCAATTCTATCATCTCCTTTTGAACCTTATGTCTGGAAAGTAGTTTCTCTCAAGACCCTCACTGTGTCACTCCCAGGACTTGGGATACAATGGAAACCCATCTCCACCCACCAAACCAATTCTTCTTTCTGGAGGGTGTTCCTTGTTCTTTGTGGCTTTAGAAATGCCTGGGGAATTAATAAGGGTCACCTCAGGTGTGCTTGTGCGGGCTTGCCCTACTGTGGGTGGCACAATTCCAAGGACTAGGGGCCTAGGCTGAGTAAAGAGGAGAAAAGCAGAAAGCCGGGGTGGGGGGGGGGGGGCCCCCCCCCCCCCCCCCCCCCGCGGGGCACTGAACCCCTTCCTGACCCACTCAGATGTTATATCAGGAAGCACCTTCACGTACCAGTGGCCACACCTTCCCCTCCTCATGGACCCAGAGTGACTACCACAGGCATCTTCCAAACGGAATCCATCTTGTGTCCACAAAAATTTATCTTTTGTCTGGGTTGCCTTCGTGGTTGTTTTCTTACCCCCGCCCTGTGGTGTTTGTGTGTGTGTGTGGGTGTGTGTGTGTGTGGGTGTGGGGGGGGGGGGGGGAGAGAGAGAGAGAGAGAGAGAGAGAGAGAGAGAGAGAGAGCACATGAGCAGTCAGCTGTATGTGTGGCGGTCACTTGTCTCCTTCTATCCCCTGGGGATTGAATTCAGGTCGTCAGGCTTGGCAGCAAGCTCCCTGAAGCTGCAGAGCCGTCTCAACCTCTCCACCCCTCATCTTCTTCTTATCTCTGTAAAGGGCATCTTCAGCCATCAAAGCCCAACTTTGCATTAGTTTTTTTCCAACTTGTTTGGCCTCAATGCTATTTATCGAGTCTTGTCAGTTCTTTGCTCGGGGTCTCCGGGTCCTCTGCAGGGGCTGCTGACCACTGAGCCGTCTCTCCCGGCCTCTGCTAAGGGTGACCGGATGCTATCTCCTCTCCTAAACTGCCTTTTTGATGGTGTTTTCTGCAGTTCTTGCAGTGGTCTCCTAGTTTTCTCCCACTATTATTTCATCTTTCTGCTGATTAGAAGGGTGATTTTTTTTTTTTTTTTTTTTTAAATTCTACAGTTGATCGGCTGGGCTGTCAAACGTTACATCCTTGAGTGGACGAGGATTGCGTAATTCTGTAGGATCAGCCCGGGAAGCGTTGTCCCGCCTGTATCAGTGATTGACAGAAGGCAGAGCAGAGAGAGGGCTGACCGTGCCTGTGAACACGTTTGAAGTTGCGGCGTTCCCATTTTGTACAAGGGTTTAAAAGGTGACCTGGGGAAGCTGGGGGTGGGGGGAGAGTCGCCTGGGGATGGAGACGTGGGATGAAAGGAGCATAAGGTAAAGACTGGAATGAGAAAAGAGAAGAGCAAAATTAGAATCGTAACTTTTGCTCCTAATGAGTTGGCAAGCGAGAGGGTTTTTTTTTTTTTTCACTAATGCAAAGGAAATGATTTGTCATAAATCCCTGCAGTGTCTGTAACCACCCACTAAAAAGATGTGAAGAAAGGGACCGTCGCAGACATTGCAAAGGAGAAAGCAAATCTAAAACAGGGCTGGGGGGTTATGCTTCCTTTTGATGTTGGGGCAAAGAGCACAGAAACTTAGAAAAAAGTGTGACTCATTCATATATTCTCTCTCTGTGTGTGTCTGTCTCTCTCTCTCTAAACAAGAGCGCCACCACCATTTTCATGAGCTTGGGATGGTTGTTTCTGACATCTGCACAGTTATTTCAAGGTAAGTGTGTGAAGCGTCAGCGCAGAACCTGGTCTGGGCTGGTGAGTAGTTCAGTGAGTGAAGGTGCTTTTAGCCAAGCCTGAGGTCCTGTGTTTGATGACTGGGACCCACATGGTGTAACGAGAGAACTAACTTCTGCAAGTCATTCTCTCTGATCATGGCACTTGCATGCTCACACACACACACACACACACACACACACACACACACACACACACAATTTTATTTTTTTTTTTAAAAAAGGGTGTAGACCTGACTGGAGGCACACACAGTGTGTGGGCTATGGGTCACTTTGCTTCTTAAATGGTTAAATCTGCTTGTTCTGTATCAGAAGCCAAGAGAGTTAGAAACTGTGAAGATTGACAGCAGGCACAGAGACAGATGAACTACTTAAGCATCAAATCAAACAAGAGGCAAAGCCCCATTTCCTGAGCTGGGAAATCCACCTACTAGAGAAGACAGAGGATTTACAGGAAAGAGGCTACACGTCTATTAAAACACATCTGTCTCCATTTGAAATATAATCATTTGAAGCTGATGGCGATAGAAGAGCCAGAAAATAACTTTTATGAAATAGTGGTCTCATTGCCATGTACCACCATCAAAAGCTTAGATACAACGCCTTGGAGTTACATACACTATAAAAGGCAAAAACCGGGAAAGGCATTGTATGGCAAATATGTTTTAGAGTTGGTAAAGGAAGCTCAGCAAAGCAAGATGACAAGGAACACGAACCTCCGTTTCCACATGGGCTGTGGAAAGTTCTGGTGGTGTACAGGGACTGTGGTGTATGTCTTCACACCATCACCTGAGCTAGCTGGCAGGAAGGAATTCATCTAATTGTTTCCTCAGAGCAAAGGACGTTTTGACAGTTATCTCCCTAAGAAGGGTGATGTTTTCCTAAGCCATTAAAAGCCTCCCAGGAATGCAGTGGCCTAAGAAGAGGCCAGGTTGGATCCTTAGATTGCTGTGTCGGGTTCGGTGCTATGTAAAATCCTGTACTTCTCTTGTCCCCTCGTCTCACTCTTGCTGTCCTCCTACACTCTATTTCTTTTGGGTTTTCTGACATGAGATCTCACTGTGCAGTCCAGGCTTCAAACTACAATAACCTGCCTGTCTCAGCCTCCTGAGTACTGCGATTAAACATGCATGACACCAACATACATGGGTCAAAGTCTAAACTGTCACTGGAAAAATCATCTGGATCATCTCACAGTGCTCCCGTGACTACGCAATATGACAAGGCTTGGGAAAGTGCTCGGTAAATCTCAGAAGCTTCCCGTCTTCATTCTGTCAGCACATTTGAGCACGGACTGTGTGTCAGAAGCCAGGGGCATTGTATCTACAGTGTAAGAGGATCTTGACTGGGAGGCCCCAGGGACCCTGTGATGGAAAAGGCCTCCTCTCCAGGGCTGCTGGTCAGGCATTTACATGATCATGTGGCCGAGTTTGCCTAAGGCTCTGATTCCATCCCCAGCACTGCAAACATAAAGATCCTATCATGTGATGACATAGACCCATCATAACTTCTGTGAATATTGGCCGTTGCATTCAAAACAGTGACGTGACTATCTAATCATGCATTTCTCATAGCGTAACCCTGCCATTAAGTGATACAATATTGTGCTTAGGGAATTAACGCTGCAGGAGTGTACACAACTAAATGGTTTCAGATTCATAGCGGTGTGTGTATGTGTGTGCGTGTGTGTGCGTGTGTACGTGTGTGATGTCTGTGTCTGTGCGCACGCGCGTGTGCGTGCATGTGTGTGTGAGTGTGTCTGTGTGTGTAGTAGAAGTTATGGAGCACTCTTGGCATTAGGGATTTTTGTGTACTGTAGAAAGATATTTTAAAATTAGTCATTAAAACTCTTTTTAGATACATATTAGACTATATGTTATGAATGTTTTGCCTGCATAACTGTACGGTCATTGTGTGTGCCTGTTGGCTCCCCGGAACTGGGGTTATGGGTGGTTATGGACCACAGTGTGGGTGCCGGGACTCCAGCCTGAGTCCGCAAGAGCGTTAAGTATTGTTTAACTGCTGAGCCGTATCTTCAGCCCCACACACATTTCTTTTCCAATAAATAAATTTCCAAATATGACCATCCTTCAGAGAACAATCAGACAAAAATATCCCTTTGGGCGAATCCATTCAGACCTGGGTCAAGGCACAATACAGGATTGGAGCAGAATCATCTCACATGACAGGGACCTGTGTATAGCATGGTGGCTGCATTGGTAGCTGTTAGAGCATTTCTTCTCGGAGACAGTATTTTTTTTTTTTTTTTTTAAATCACTGTTGAATGCAGCATAGGCCACCTGTGTACGTGTAGTTTAGGGGAAGGGTTTAGTCTTGTGAACTTGCAGGGCACACTTTGCAGAAGCCGAGGAAGACACAACTGCCTTGCCACCCCAGCATGGACACATACATGGAGCTGATTCACTACCAGCTGAGAGCTCAGAAACCAAGTTTCATGCAGGTACTAGAACTGCTTGCGGGAAGTCACAGGAGAAGGTGAGCCAAGCCCCGTATTGGCTGTGACTGCAGGGCATTGCTCCAGCCACAGGGTCACTCTAAGGCGATGACGCTGTGGCCAGCCTGGTTGGTGTGAGCTGGTGCTGTAGCTAGACAGGTGTTGGAGATGCTGGGGAAAGTGGACCAGGAGGAGAAATCCACGAGGCTCCGTCCTTTAGGTCTTCATCTCCTTTCATTACCTCCCATCTGGTCCCCAATCCACCAACTCAGGGAGTCGTGGAAATGCAGACTGCAGGCAGTGCCTGAGGGCCAGAGGTTCTTGACTGGTACAGTGGGAGGAGAGGAAGATACAAACCACCAAGGACAGCACAGAGCTCTTTGTTATTTTATTTTTCAATTTTGTGTTGGAGACAAGGTCTCTCTGTATCCCAGGCTGACCTTAAACATACTCTGTAGTCACTTATGACTTTGTGCTTGTCCTCCTGCCTCCATCCCCCAGGGCTGGGGTTATAGGCAGGAACAGTTCATTAAAAATTTCTTTTGGTGGGGGCTGGGCTTTGTGGCCCATGCTTTTAATTTTAGCACTTGGAAGGCAGAGGCAGGCAGATCTGTGTGAACTCAAGGCCAGCCTGTTCATGTAGTGAATTTCAGGACATCCAGGAGTACACAGTGAGATTTTGTCTGCCCCCCCCCAAAGAAACCTTAAAACATTTTACTTATTTAGTGTCCATGTGGATAATAAGCAGGCATGAGATTGCCATAATGCACAGAAGTCAGAGGACAACTTCTCAGAGTTGGTTCTCTGTGTGGGTCTTGGGGATTAAACTAAAGTCATCAGGCTAGCTGGGCGTTGGTGACACACGCCTTTAATCCCAGCACTCAGGAGGCAGAGGCAGATGGATCTCTGTGAGCTTGAGGCCAGCCTGGTCTACAAGAGCTAGTTCCAGGATAGCCTCCAAAGCCACAGAGAAACCCTGTCTCAAAAAAACCAAAAAAAAACCCTTTCTAAAAAAAAAAAAAAAAAAAAAAAAAAAAAAAAAAAAAAAGTCATCAGGCTGTCATATGGTCATCATGTGTTTACCTGCTGACGGCTCATTGACCCATGAACAGCTTTTTTCCCCTTCCTCCCCTGCCCTGACTTCCCCTTCCATCTTCCTTTTTTTTCTCTCCTCTCCTCTCCTCTCCTCCCCTCCCCTCCCCTCTCCTCTCCTCTTGGTTCTAATAGTCAAATGCGGAGGTCTGGTTCATTTCAGCATCTTCACTGCTGCGGCTTCCCTGCCTTCTCCTTGTCTATTCTGAGCAGAGTGTAAAGGTATAAAGGCGCCTGCTGTAGCGAACCTTTAACTTGATATTATCTTTCTTCTTCTTCTTCTTCTTCTTCTTCTTCTTCTTCTTCTTCTTCTTCTTCTTCTTCCTCCCCCTCCTCCTCCCCCT